AAATACTTCCAACAAACACACAACACTTTCTTCTTTATAAAGTTTGAAATAACTAACAATACTCCTACAATGATATCCTGCCTTTTTTTTTTCTTTTTAAATTCATGTGTGTGTGAATCATGTGCAAAAAGATTTACAGTGTGTATCACTTACATATTTATATTTTTACTGTGAACTCAAACATGCAATTACCCCAAACCAGAAATGAATAGAACCAACTGAGGAAGAGAACAGCTAGCAAGCATCCTCAAGACACACCACAAATGACCAAGACTCTGAAGTGAGTTACTGGCAGCCAAGAGGCCTGCAGGGAGGCACAAATCATTCAATCAGGCATTGCTGTTGACTCTGAAGAGGGCATTTGGCTGGGAGGGAGGGGGAGGAGATCCAGGTTTATTTGTGTCTTGATGTAGGCAGGGAGGTCATGAGCAATAAAGTACTGGTGAGAGGACAGCCCTACTTTCTGATGTTTCAAAGTGATTTTGAGACAAGTATTACTCTATAAATAAAACGTATTCATTAGTCTATTTCAGAGATAAGTAGACTCTCACTTTTTTCTTCAAGCCTCTTCGTTGTAGACACTGACACCAAAGAGTAAAACTACTCATCTATTAGGAGCCTTAAACTCTGGCTTTCAGTTGAGATTAATGTCAAAACTTGTTCAGACTGTAAAAACAGACTCATGATAACAGGAACAAATGTTGGCAATTCATAGAAACACAGATTTGCTCCTACTTTGGCTTTCCCTGTACAATCAGTGAACCTGCTGAAAGCAAAGTTGGGTATTGGGGGAACCTGCCCCCAATATTTCAACATAGATTCTTTTTGTTTTCCATAAGTGTCGGCTGGCTGAGAAATAAAGAGAAACAGTATAAAGAGAAGAATTTTACAGCTGGGCTACTGGGGGTGACATCACATATCGGTAGGACCGTGATGTCTGCCTGAGTCTCAAAACTAGTACGTTTTTATTAAGGGTTTCAAAAGAGGAGAAGGTATAAAAACAGGGAGTAGGTGCAAAGATCACATGCTTCAAAAGGCAAAAAGCAGAACTACTAATAAGGGTCTAACAAAGATCACATATTTCTGAGGGAACAGGACAAAGGGAAAAAGCAGAACTACTGATAAGGGTCCAACAAAGATCACAAGGCAAAGGGCAAGAGCAGAACGACTGATAAGGGTCTATGTTCAGCGGTGCACGTATTGTCTTGATAAACATCTTACACAACAGAAAACAGGGTTCGAGAGCAGAGAACCAGTCTGAACTCAGATTTACCAGGATGGGGATTTTCCCCACCCTAGTAAACCTGAGGGTACTGCAGGAGACCAGGGCATATCTCAGTCCTTATCTCAACTGCATAAGACAGACACATTCCCAGAGTGGCCATTTATAGACCTCCCCCCAGGAATGCATTCCTTTCCCAGGGTATTAATATTACTATTTGTTGCTTGGAAAAGAATGTAGTGATATCTCTCCTACTTGCATGTCCATTTATAGGCTCTCTGCAAGAAGAAAAATATGGCTCTTTTTGCCTGACCCCGCAGGCAGTCAGACCTTATGGTTGCTTCCCTTGTTCCCTAAACATTGCTGTTACTCTGTTCTTTTTCAAGATGCACTGATTTCATATTGTTCAAACACGTTTTACAATCAATTTGTACAGTTAACACAATTATCACAGTGGTCCTGAGGTGATGTACATCCTCAGCTTATGAAGATAACAGGATTAAGAGATTAAAGACAGGCATAAGAAATTATAAAAGTATTATTTGTGAACTGATAAATGTCCATGAAATCTTCACAATTTATGTTCCTCTGCCATGGCTCCAGCTGGTCCCTCCATTCGGGGTCCTTGACTTCCAACAACAGTTGGGCCCAGGAATTAGTTCTGAGTAGGAGGCTATAATATAACACGTTTGGATATATTTGAAAAGCTAATGATCTCAGTACAACTGGTATTAGTCTTTCAGGTATAATCACTCAAAGATGTCTTACAGTATATGCAGTTTGTGTTTTTATTAGTGTGGAATGTGTTTCAATTTTCTGCAGGCCAATTTTACTCTTTAGACCAGTGCCATATCCTTGAACCTGGAATAATAAAAGCAAGAATTTTCCTGTTGTTTGGCACTGAACTCTACTCATTAGCTGCTAATGAAGCAGAAGTTGTAGAGCTGAGTTCCATGTGGGCCAGTTGGCTTCATATTGACAGGAATATCTTTCAAAGATGCAGATTGAATTCCCATCTCTCAGCAACATCAGCCAGATGCCTATCATGGCACACAATTTGATCTTGGGAAAAGAGTTTGAATGTTTAGTATACTGTATGCCACAACTATAACTGGAAAAAAAACCCACCAAATATGGCTTATTGTCTAGTACAACCCTAGCACATACTCATAGACATAGTCAGTAACATTTCTGTTTAATGGTGAGAGAAAAAAAATCCAAAAAGAGAAAAGAATTAAAGAATCCGATTTAAACTTATAACCCATGTGTGCTGTTGACCCTACAAATGATAATGTGTTATGCATAAAATGATTTACATAATATGTGCAGTGTTGTTCTCACTTTTGCTATGCCATAAAAATCTTCCATTTCTTCATTTCATAGTGTAGTGCCCAACATACAGAGAGTAGAAAACAAGGTACACAAGCCAGTTCCTCCATCCATCCATTCATCCATCTAGACTTCCAACACACTTTCCGAGAATGTAATTTATCCTTGCTGCAATAATATTCTTTTTTCACTCCTTACTCCTTTGGAATCTAGCCTACAGTCTAGCTACTTTCCCCATACTACTCTCTCAAAGGTTATCAGAAACCACTTAACCTTCATGCTCAATGTCTATTCTCAACAGACATTTGGCAGAATTAGGAGGTGAGCCATGTTTCTGGAGCCCTGGCCCTATGCCAGCTGGGAGGGCAGCCATGAAAAGTCTTGCTGCTAACCCTCAGCCCAGCAACAGGACTGCATTCAAACAAATAACCAAAAATACTCTCTCTTAAACACTTATCCTGTGACTTCCGTGACACAGATTATCCTGGTTCCCCTTCCATTTATTGACCCTCTCAGGCTCAGCTCCATAATTTGTGGGGCCCAAAGCAAGATTAAAATTTGAGTTCCCTTGTTCAAAAAACAAGAAAAATTATTGTTAAAGTTACTCAATATAATTCTGTTTCTTTTGCAGTTTCTCTCTTGTCATGAAATCTTTTTATTTGCTGTTTAATGTCATTCTAAGTAAAGAAAAAATAAAATTTTTAATGATGAGAATAAATTTTACCATTTTTCTTCATGTTGTACAATACCAATTTTAAATGCCAATTTTAAAAGCATTTAGCTATGTGTAATCACCAAAATTATACAGGTATTATTTTTATAGCTCATACATATATATGTATTTCATTCTTATCAGAACAGTAGAATCACTGCACAAAACAAACTCTACTAATTTTGTTTCACTTACTGATATGCACACGTTCTATCAACACTCTCTATGGTCAGTTTACTTGTATGTCATCATTTTCAGTATAAGTGCTTGACTAATTGACACAAGTAAGAAATTAACACAAGTAAGAAAATATGTGATGGGGTTTCTTAGAACATCATTGATTTCTTTCACACCAACAAGTTCTGGTTTGAATAGAAAGCATGGCCTCTCAAGACTTATCAGCCTTCCCCTGCACACGCTTACTCTAAGATGAAACACACACCTGGTACTCATATTGAGTCTTGCTGAACTCCCATGCATTGTGAGTCCACTGGAATTCTATGCTCATGAGACATGGTATGTGAGTGGGAAGGCCAGGAACGGTGGGCATGCACATTGCACATAGTGCTTCTCCTCATGCGTGTGCTCCATTGCCCCATCCAACTTTGCTTACAAAACATAGTTCAAAGATACATTTTTTAAAAAATTATAAGACGGTGGCAATAGCCTTACCCTGAGCTTGGAGCCCTTCTGAGAGTGACACTATGTGAGATTGCACAGGCCACACACCCATGTTGCTGGCCCTGGACTCTCACTGGTTTCTGTGTCATCCAGTCCATCTGATAAGTATCATGTGTAGTTCTGTCATCATCTTCTCTTTGTACATTTCATTCACCTTTATAAATTCAATTAACACCTCCCTGTCTTGATCCCAGTTTTTTCCCAGGCTCTGAATATTCAACTGCCTGCTGAATACATCTCAACACATACCACATCTAAAATAAAATCCACAATTTTTCCACTAAAGCTGTTCTTCTGGGTTCGGTTAACCAAAAATCTCAGTCATTTGGTCCACAGTCTGTACAAAGCTGATCACATGGTAGTTGCTCAATATACACTGCTGGTTTATTGACTAAATTGAGTATCTGCCTCCAGTTATAATTTGTAAGAGTCAGCCTAGATCATTCAGAGATCAGTTGTTCTGGTTGTAGATTTCCCATATCCTTATTTCTTTTTAAAATTATTCTTATAATACAGCTTCGAGACATTGGACAGAGGCAGGAAATAAAAATAAAATTTAACCATCCACTTCTACCTAACACTAATTAAAAACTTTTAACAGGAACCGTGATGATATTAATAGTTAAATTGGATACCAAGATTTAGATTTCATCTACATATGCTCACAACTTTGCTTTTCAGTTATTCCCAAATAAGCAGTTTCATTTCTTTTCCATTTCCAGATTTCTATATACATGAACTTAAAAAAAAAAAAAAAATCCAGCCCTGGTCATGGTGGCTCACACCTGTAATCCCAGCATTTTGGGAGGCTGAGGTGGGCAGATCACTTGAGATAAGGAGTTTGAGACTAGCCTGGGCCAATATGGCAAAACCTTGTCTTTACTAAAATTACAAAAATTAGCCAGGCATGATGGCTCATGCCTGTAGTCCCAGCTACTTGGGAGAATGAGGCAGGAGAATCTCTTGAACCCAAAGGCAGAGGTTGCAGTCAGCCAAGATTGCACCACTGCTCTCCAGCTTGGGTGATAGAGTGAGACTCCATCTCGAAAAAAAAAAAAGAAAAAAAATTCCATCAGTGGGTATCAGACTTAGTCACTGTCAAAGTCACACTGGCTACTGTCTTATTATTTGTATTCTTTGTTACAGAAATTGTAATTTGATGAACTTTAATTATGGTGTCTTGATATTTCCAGTGCTTCCCACTCTGGGTAAGTCATGAAAATAATGGTAACATTTGTGTTGTTATTCGTTATTTGTATTCTTTGTTACAGAAATTGTAATTTGATGAACTTTAATTATGGTGTCTTGATATTTCCAGTGTTTCCCACTCTGGGTAGGCCATGAAAATAATAGCAGTATTTGTGTTGTTATTCTGGCACTTCTAGTTTAGACTATAACCCAGAAAAGTTTGAAGGGTATTAAAAACAACAGCAATAACAACAACAACAACAACAACAAAAAACAGAACTACTAAAGAAATATGGGAGTTTAGATTATTTCAAACCTCATGATGACGTTTGGTTTATATTTAAGTGAGGTTCAAGTTAGTTCGTGTTTTTACGAGACTCTCTAGGTCCATTTCTAGCCACCTTTGCTTTAGGCTTGGCATGTGGAAAGACTAAAACTGCCTTCTTGCCTGACTGGGGTTCATCTAGTCATTAACTGCCTGCAACACCAACGTAGAACTTCTTATTTCAGGCAGCCCAGGCACTGGAAATAATGTGCTGCTTGTATTATAAATCCAAAGAAATGCCAAAATAACCTGTGGTTTTCAGGAGTGGTACAGTTAGCTTTTATGACCAAGGAATGGAAAACCAACTTAGAACCCAGTATCAACCTTTCCATTCAAACCTGCATTCTGGTGGACATTAAAGTTCTAGTTATTTGTGAAATTTTAAAATAATATTTTAAATAAGGCTTGCTTCTAGGCTGTTCTAAAATATATTTTATTTATGATATGGTAATCCTCTAATTTTGAGTTACTCTCTTACTATTATTTTAAACATCATTAACAGTTCTGTGACATTTCTTATGCAATGCCAAAGGCCATAAAATCGTGTATTAGTCAATTAAGGCATTGAATTTTTGATGCACACAGCACTGTGGGTCATAAAATAGAAGTAAATGAATAATTCCTGCCTTCAGAAAATGAATCTTTTTGAGGTAATAATAATATAGGTCTATGAATAATTAGAAGACAATATAACATAGTACATAGTCCAGTTAAAAAAAGAGATTAGAAGAGGAAAAACACCAGATCTCTATGTGGAGGAGAAAATGATGCTTAAACTGTGTTTCTCTTTGGAATATTAATGAGGACCAGAGAGGGCATCCATCTATTCAGAAGACTTCTGAAAATAAACTATCTAAGGGCCTTTAGACATTGGTAGATGCTGCATGCTATTTTTTGCTTATTTTATTTTATGTTTGTTTCAATAGGGTTTTGGGGAACAAGTGGTGTTTTGTTACATGAATATGTTCTCTATTGGTGACTTATGAGATTTTGGTGCACCCATCACCAGAGCACCATACGCCGTATCCAATGTCTTTTATCCACAACCTCTGCCCTCCTTTCCCCTGAGTCCTCAATGTCCATTGTATCATTCTTATTCCTTTGCATCCTCATAGCTTAGCTCCCATTTATGAGTGAGAACATACAATGTTTGGTTTTCCATTCCTGAATTACTTCACTTAGGATAATGGTCTCCAATTCAATCTGGGTTGCTGTGAATTCATTATTTCATTCCTTTTTATGGCTGAGTAGTATTCCATGGTCTGTGTATATAGTGTGTGTGTGTGTGTGTGTGTGTGTATATATATATATATATCACATTTTCTTTATCCACTCATTGATTGATGGGGATTTGGGCTGGTTCCATATCTTTGCAATTGCAAATTATGCTTCTATAAACATGCATGCTCAAGTATCTTTTTCATATAATGACTTCTTTTCCTCTAGGTAGATACCCAGGAGTGGGATTGCTGGATTAAATGGTAGGTCTACTTTTAGTTCTTTAAGGAATCCCCACACTATTTTCCATAGTGGTTGTACTAGTTTGCATTCCCACCAACAATGTAAAAATGATCCCTTTTCACCACGTCTACGCCAACTTCTATTATTTTTTGATTTTTTGATTTTTTGATTATGGTCATTCTTGCAGGAGTAAAGTGGTATCACATTGTCATTTTGATATGCATTTACCTGATCATTAGTGAGGTTGAACATTTTTTCATATGTTTGTTGACCATGTGTATATTTTTTTTTTGAGAACTGTCTATTCATGTCCATAGCCCACTTTTTGATGGAATTGTTTGTTTTCTTTTCTTGCTGATTTGTTTGAGTTCCTTGTAGAGTCAGGATATTAATCTTTTGTCAGCCATAGATTGTGAAGATTTTCTCCCACTCTGTGGGTGGTTTGTTTACTGTGTTGATTGTTCCTTTTGCTGTGCAGAAGCATTTTAGTTTAATCAAGGCCCATCTATTTATCTTTGTTTTTGTTACATGTACTTTTGGGTTCTTGATCATGAAGTCTTTGCCTCAAAGTCTAGAAGGGTTTTTTGAATGTTATCTTCTAGAATTTTTATGGTTTCAGGTCTTCTATTTAAGTATTTAATCCATCTTAAGTTGATTTTTATATAAGATGAGAAATGAGGATCCAGTTTCATTCTTCTACATGTGACTTGTCAATTATCCCAGCACCACTTGTTATATAGTGTATCCTTTCACCCTTTATGTTTTTGTTTGCTTTGTTGAAGGTAAGTTAACTGTAAGTATTTGGGTTGATTTCTAATTCTTTATTCTGTTCCATTGGTCTATATACCTATTTTTATACAAGTACCATGCTATTTTGTTGACTATGACCTTATAGTATAGTTGGAAGTCACGTAATATGATGCCTCCAGATTTGTTCATTTCGTGTAGTCTTGCTTTGGCCATGTGGGCTCTCTTTTTGGTTCCATATGAATTTTGGATTGTTTTTCCTAGATGTGTGAAGACTGATGATGGTATTTTGGTGGGAATTGTGTTGAATTTGTAGATTTCTTTTGGCAGTATGGTCATTTTCACCATACTGATTCTACCCATTCCTAAGTATGGGATGTGTTTCCATTTGTTTGTGTTGTCTATGATTTTTTTAAGCAGGGTTTTGTAGTGTTTTGTTGTTGTTGTTGTTTGTTTGTTTGTTTTTTGTAGAGGTCCTTCTTTAGGTATATTCATAAGTAATTTTTAGCTGTTGTAAAAGGTGTTGAGTTCTTTATTTGATTCTCAGCTTGGTCACTGTTGGTGTATAGCAGAGCTATTGATTTGTGTACATTAATTTTGTATTCTGAAAGTGCTGAATTTATTTGCCACTTCTAGGAGCTCTTTCTTTATGTGATCATATCAGCAGCAAACAGCAACAGTTTGACCTTGTCTTTACCAATTTGGATGCCCTTTATTTCTTGTTCTTATATGATTGCTCTGGCTAGGAATTTCAGTACTATATTGAATAGAAGTGGTGAAAGTGGGCATCCTTATCTTGTTCTAGTTCTCAGGGGGAATGCTTTCAACTTCTCTCTTTTCTGTATAATGTTGGCTGTGGATTTATCATAGATAGCTTTTGTTACCTCGATGTGTGTCCCTTCTATGCCGATTTTGCTGAGGGTTTTAATCATAAAGAGATGCTGGATTTTTTCAAATGCTTTTTCTACCTCTATTGAGATGATCATGTGAGTTTTGTTTTTGATTCTGTTTATATGGTGTGTCACATTTATTGACCTGAGTATGTTAAACAATCCCTGCATCACTGGTATGAAACAAACTTGATCATGGTGGATTATCTTTTTGATTTGATGTTGGATTCAGTTAGCTATTATTTTGTTGAGGATTTTTGTATCTATGTTCATCAGGGATCTTGGTCTATATTTTTCCTTTTTCATTATGTTCTTTCCTGTTTTTGGCATTAGGGTGATATTGGCTTCATAGAATGATTTAGGGAGGATTCCTTCTTTCTCTATTTGTGGAATAGTGTCAATAGGATTGGTACCAATTCTTCTTTGAATGTCTGATAAAATTCATCTGTGAATCCATCTGGTCCTGGAATTTTTTTGTTTGGTAACTCAAATTACCATTTCAATCTTACTGCTTGTTATTTGTCTGGTGACTCTCTCTTTATTTCTGGTCTAATCTAGAAAGGTTATATGTTTCCAAGAATTTATCCATCTCCTCTAGGTGTTCTAGTTTGTGCATGTAAAGTTGTTCATAGTAACCTTTAATGATCTTTTGTACTTCTGTGGTTTTGGTTGACATATCTCCTGTTTCATTTCTAATTGAGCTATTTGGATCTTCTCTCTTCTTGGTTAATCTTGCTAATGGTCTATCAGTTTTGTTTATCTTTTCAAAGAACCAGGTTTTGTTTTATTTGCCTTTTGTATTGTCTTTTTGTTGTTGTTGTTTAAATTTCATTTAGTTCTTCTAGGCTCTTTGTTATTTCTTTACTTTTGCTGCGTTTGGTTTGTTCTTGTTTCTCTAGTTCCTTGAGGTATGAGCTTTGATTGTCTCTTTGTGCTCTTTCAGACTTTTTGATGTAGACATTTAATGTTATGTCAGTGGAGAAAAGTCCCCCAATATTATTGCATTGCTGTCTACCTCATCTCTTAGGTCTAATAATAATTGTTTTTATAAATCTGGGAGCTTCAGTGTTAGGTGCATATATATTTGGGATTGTGATACTTTCCTGTTGAACTAGGCCTTTTATCATTATATAATGTGCCTCTTTGTCTTTTTTAACTGCTGCTGCTTTAAAGTTTGTTTTTTCTGATACAAGAATAGCTACTCCTGCTTGCTTTTGGTGTCCATTTGCATGGAGTATGTTTTTCTACCCCATTTACCTTAAGTTTATGTGAATCCTTATGTGTCAGGTGAGTCTCTTGGAAACAGCAGATACTTGTTTGCTGAATTCTCATCCATTCTGCCATTCTGTGTCTTTTCTTTTTCCTTTTAATTGCATTTAGTTTAATGCTGAATTTACTCCCATGCCATAAATTTTTGTTTCATCAGTTTCTTCTGGGATATCTTTTTCTTCTGGGCAACCTCGTCTTCTGGTTTAGGAACAATCTGTTTCTTTTCAATAAGGATCATCTCAATGTGGCAGGGAGACCTCATGTATGGGTTAGTCTGACTATGAGCTCCATAGGTCCAGCAGCACATCTTAGGTGCTTTATTCACTTGGATATGTGTTGCGGGAAGTCAGGGACCCCGAATAGAGGGACCGGCTGAAGTCACGGCAGAAGAACATAAATTGTGAAGATTTCATGGACATTTATTAGTTCCCAAATTAATACTTTTATAATTTCTTACGCCTGTCTTTACTGCAATCTCTGAACATAAATTGTAAAGATTTCATGGACATTTATCACTTCCCCAATCAATATTTTTGTGATTTCCTATGCCTGTCTTTACTTTAATCTCTTAATCCCATCATCTTCTTAAGCTGAGGATGTATGTTGCCTCAGGACCCTGTGATGATTGTGTTAACTGCACAAATTGTTTAAACAATATAAAATCTGGGCACTTTGAAAAAAGAACAGGATAACAGTGATGTTTAGGGAACAAGGGAGATAACCATTAGTTCTGGCTGCCTGAGAGTTGGGTGGAACAGAGCCATATTTCTCTTCTTTCAAAATCAAATATAACTATCGCTGAATTCTTTTTCTCAGCAAGGAGCAGCCCTGAGAAAGAGAATGCATTCCTAGGGGTAGGTCTCTAAAATGGCCACTCTGGGAATGTCTGTCTTTTACGGTTGTAGATAAGGGATGAAATAAGCCCCAGTCTCCTATAGCGCTCCCAGGCTTATTAGGATGAGGAAATTCCCGCCTAATAAATTGTGGTCAGAACGGTTGTCTGCTCTCAAACCCTGTCTCCTGATAAGATGTTATCAATGACAGTGCATGCCCAAAACTTCATTAGCAATTTTAATTTCTCCCCAGTCCTATGATCTTGCCCTGCCTCCTTTGCCTTGTAATATTTTATTACCTTGTGAAGCATGTGATCTCTGTGACCCACACCCTATTCGTACAGTCCCTTCCCTTTGAAAATCACTAATAGAAACTTGCTGGTTTTGCAACTTGAGAGCATCACGGAACCTGCCGACATGTGATGTCTCCCCCAGATACTCAGCTTTAAAATTTCTCTCTTTTGTACTTATTTCTCAGACCAGCCAACACTTAGGGAAATAGAAAAGAACCTATGTGAAATAATGTTGAATTATTGGGGACAGGTTCCTCAACAGATATGCTCAATGACCAGAGAGTCTACATCTAAACCTTTAAGTTCACCATTACTCTCTGCATTTTTAAGCATGTGCAGCAAAAATTCAGCACTCTTTTGGGCCACCAACCTTGTGTCTAGCCCCACTGCTTGGCCTGGGCATACCTGCCAACTCCACCATTGTAACATCGGAATGGTACACACCATTTCTGTAAGGTGATATCTTTCAGATATTTTGTGGCTTTTCATATATGCATACCCTTGATGGCCTGGGCAGTTTCACAAGTATTCTTAAGGTGAATACGAAGATTAGAACCTCTTGATTTGCATGATTTTGTGGGGTTCTCTGGGTCAAATGTATAGGGAACCATTTTCACAGATTACCTCAGGCCACTTAGGGAAAGAGCCATTCTGTATCTTTTAAGTGGAGCATTTAGGCAATTTACATCCAATGTTATTATTGAGATTTGAGGTACTATTCTATTCACCATGCTATTTGTCACCTGAATACCTTGGTTTTTTCATTGTGTTATTGTTTCATAGATCCTGTGAGATGTACACTTTTAAGATTTTATTTTGTGTATTTCAAAGATTTGTTTTGAGATTTAGAACTTTTTTTTTTTCTTTAGCAATACTTGTAGTACTAGCTTGGTAGTGGTGAATTCTCTCAGCATTTGTTTGTCTGGAAAAGACTGTATCTTTCCTTCATTTATGAAGCTTATTTTCACTGGATTCAAAATTCTTGGCTGATAATTGTTTTGTTTAAAGGAGGTTAAAGATAGAACCCCAATCCCTTCTAGCTTGTAGGGTTTCTGCTGAGAAATCTGCTGTTAATCTGATAGGTTTTCCTTTATAGGTTACCTGATGCTTTTGCCTTACAGTTCTTAAAATCCTTTCCTTCATCTTGACTTTAGATAACCTGATGACTATGTGTCTAGGTGATGATCTTTTTGTGATGATTTCCCAGGTGTTCTTCTAGCTTCTTGGATTTGAATGTCTAGATCTTCAGCAAGGCCAGGGAAGTTTTCTTGATTGTTCCCTTCAATATGTTTTCCATACTTTTAGATTTCTCCTCTTCCTTGGGATCACCAATTATTCTTAGTTTTGGTTGTTTAACATAATCCCAAATTTTTTGGAGGCTTTGTTCATTTTTAAAATTTTTTTTTTGTTTTGCAGTGAATTTTGAAATAGAGCAGTGTAATTTCTCCTACTATATTTTTCTGTATCAGGATTATAACAAAAACAACATAAAAGTCCTTTGTAATAAATGTGACTTTTAGAATCATCTTGTTAATTTCTGCAAAGAAGTCAGCTGCAATTCTGATATGGATTATAGATCAATTTGGAAAGTACGCCCATCATCATAATGTTAAGTCTTTAGATCTGTGAACATGGGATATTTTTCCATTTGTTTAGATTTTCTTTAATTTCTTTCAACAATGTTTTATAGTTTTCAGAGTATAAGTTTTCTCATATGTAACTACATATGTAGAACTACAAATGGTAGTTCCATTTTTACTTATTTTGGATATCTCCATATTGTTTTCCATAGAGGTTGAACTAATTTACATTCCCTCCTACAGTGTATAAGCCTTCTCTTTACTCTGTATCCACAGTAACATATGTTACTTATGTTGCAACTTTATGTCCACGTGTACTCATTGTTTAGTTCCCACTTATAAATGAGAACACCTGATCTTTGATTTTCCGCTTCTGAGTTAGTTTACTTAGGACAATGGCCTCCAGCTCCATCTATGTTGCTGCAAAGGACATGATTTTATTCTTTTTTTATGGCTGAATAGTATTCCACTCTGTGTGTGTGTGTGTGTGTGTGTGTGTGTGTGTGTTTGTGTGTATACATATAAAGAAACTGTGGTATGTATGTGTTTAAAGAAAATGTGGTAAGTGTCCAACAACCCTTGGTGAACACTTAGGTTGGTTCCATGACTGTGCTATTGTGAATAGTGCTGCAATGAACATATGAGTGCAGGGTTTTTTTTCTTATATAATGGATTCTTCTTCTTTAGGTAGATACCCAGTAGTGGGATTGCTGAATCAAATGGTTGTTCTATTTTTACTTCTTTGGAATATCTCCACACTGTTTTCCATAGAGGTTGAACTAATTTACATTCCCTCCAACAGTGTATAAGCCTTCTCTTTACTCTGTATCCATAGTAACATATGTTGTTTTTTAACTTTGTAATAATAGCCACTCTGACTGATATAAGATAATATCTCATTGTGATTTTAATTTGCTCTTCTCTGATGATTAGTGATGTTCAGGATTTTTAAAATATGTTTATTGGAATACTTAGTAATGAAATCAAATCGGTAATAAAAAATCTCCCAACAACAACAAAAAACACCAGGACCAAACACACAGCCAAATTTTACCATACGTGCAAAGAACTAATACCAATCTTACTGAAACTATTCCAAAAAATTAAGGAGTAGGAATCTCTCCCTAACTCATTCTATAAATTCAGTGTTAGCCTCATACGAAAAATCAGACAAGGACATAACAAGAAAAGAAACCTACAGGCCAATATTCCTGACAAATGTAGAAGCAAATATCCTCAACAAAATATTATCAAACTGAATCCAACAGAACATCAAAAAAAAAAAAAAAAAAAAAAAAAAAAATCCATCACAATCAAGTGGGCTTGATTCCAGGGAGGCAAGGATGGTTCAACATATGCAAATTAATAAACATGATTCACCATGTAAACAGAACAAAGAACAAAAACTTTCTGATCATCTCAGTAGATGTAAAATAAGTATTTGATAAAATGCAATATCACTTCATAATTTAAAAACACCCTCAACAAACTAGGCATAAATGGGATACATCTCAAAATAATAGCCATATATCAAACCGCATAGTCAACATCATACTGAATGAGGAAAATTTGAAAGCATTTCACCTCAGGACTAGAACAAGAAAAGGATGTCTACTCTCATCACTCTTATTCAACATAGTACTGGTAGCCCAAGCCAGAACAATGAGGCAAGAAAAGAAATAAAACACATCCAAATTAGAAAAGAGGATGTCCAATTATCTCTGTTTGTTGATGACACAACCATATACTTAGAAAATCCTAAAGGCTCCTCCAGAAGACTCCTAGAGTTAATAAGCAACTTCTGTAAAGTCTCAGGATACAAAATCAATTTACAAAAATTAGTAGCATTTATATACACCAATAATGTTCAAACTGAGAACCAAATTAAGAACTCAATCCTATTTACAGTAGTCACACAAAAAAATGTTAAACACTTATGAATACATTTAACAAAGATCTCTACAACAGAAACTACAAAACACTGATGAAATAAATTGTAGCTGGCCCAATAAAATAGAAAAATATCCCATGCTCATGGATTAGAAGAATCAATAATATTAAAATGGCCATATTGCCCAAAGCAATCTACAGATTCAATGTGGTTCCTATCAAATTACCAATGTCTTCCTTCACAGAATTAAAAAAAAATCCTAAAATTCATATGGAACAACAACAAAAAGCCCAAATAGCCAAAGCACTCCTAAGCAGAAAGAACAAATCTGGAAGCATTACATTGCCTAACTTCAAATTATATTACAAGGCCATACTAATAAAAACTTCATGGTACTGGCACAAAAATAGGTACATGGATCAGTGAAATGGAACAGAGAACCCAGAAATAAAGTCATATACCTATAACCAATGGATCTTTGATAAAGTTTACAAAAATAAACAATGGGGAAAGGACATACTTTTCAATAAATGATGCTGGGAAAACTGGCTACCTATCTGTGGAAGAATAAAACTGGACCCCTCTCTCTTACTATTTACAAAAATTAACTCAAGGTGGATTAAAGACCCTAAACATAAGACCAGAAACTATAAAAATTCTAGAAGAAAATCTAGAAAAAATTCTTCTGGACGTTGCTCTATGGAAAGAATTTATGATGAAACCCAAAAGCACTAGCAACAAAAGCAAAGATAGACAAACAGACTTAATTAAACTAAAATGCTCCTGCACAGCAAAAGACATAATCAACAGAATAATCAGGCAACCTACAGAATGGGAGAAGATATTTGCAAATTATTACTCTGACAAAGGACTTATATCCAGAATCTACAAGTAGCTCAAACAAGTAAACAAGAAAAAAAAAAAAACCACTAAAAACTGGGCAAAGATGAACAGATGTTTCTTAAAAAAAAAAAAAAAAGTACAAACAGCCAAGAACTTGTTTCTTAATTTCATGTTCAGACTCTTTGTTGCAAGAATATAGAAGCACAATTTTTAAATATTGATCTTGTATCCTGCAAACTTGCTGAAAACATTTATTAGTTCTAATAATTTTTTAGTGGATTTCTTAGGATTCTCTCTATAGAAGATCATGTCATCTGTGAAGAGAGAGAATTTTAATTATTTCTTTCCTATTTGTGTCAGGGAAACAGCATTCATAGCTTATGTCTGGAAGATAGGTATACAATTCAGACACATATAATGATCAGGTATTATTTTTCTGCCTTTCTTAGTTGCTTTCTAATCTCCTTTTACCTTATTTACATGGCCTGTTTAGAGATGCTTGCATTTGTGATATTCACTGTTGTTCTCACATTTTTTTTGGACAAGATACACCCTCCTATTCTGGATAGGCCTCATTCCATCAAGCTCAATGACACCTCTGAGAATAGAACTGCCAAAAGTTCTATATGCTGACATGTATCCGTAACTTCTGACCCCGAATGTGTATCATGCCAGGTCTCAATGTGTTTAGTTCCTTCCTGTGTGGAGATTAAACATATTTTGCCTTTTGTACAGAATCTATAAAGCCATAAGCAGAAAAAAGTTTTATGCTTCGTGTTATTTCTCACTTTCCATTATTTAACAGTGACACAGTTTTTGTTGTTCATTATTCTTCAAGTTCATCACATTTTAATATTAAAGTCACGTGATGAGGTCAGCAGGTTTTCTAACAAAAATGTTTTCCTTTATCTGCATTGAGATGTCGTGTGTCATTTTTCAGTAGCATATTTGTTACTTTAAAAAGATATTTTATTAAATTATGCTTCTTGTGGTTATGTTTTATAACAAAATATTTTAAAATAAATTCTGCATTACTTTTCTGTGAAGGACATTTCTAACTACCAGCCACAATGTTTCTTCTTTATTTCACAGGGATGGAAGCTGGTGAGCTGTTAATTCCTATAGCATCTATTTTATTAACAACCCAAAAATATAATAGCTCTGTTCTCAAAAAGGGTGTTTGATATTCCGAATATTCAGTGTAATCCTCTGAGGCATGGAGAAGTTCCTAAAACCTGATTAAACAAGGTAATATGTTATATGAAAGTTTTCTACATGTAATTTGTTATATTTTTATTAAATACAATCTAATTTCTGGTAAATTGGAACCCATGTAGTAAAGAGCCTATTTAATAGCCAATACATTTATTTTTATGATAATGATGACATATTCTGGGAAGAGGAAGCAGGTGTTGAAAATGTTTACCATCATTCTTGATGCATCCATCTTTGGCAATTATGGACTCCAGATTGAACAATATCTCTTTTTCATTCTTCTCAACCATCAAAATAGTTTAATAATATGTGGAAGACCTAGTATTCATTTGTAGTACTCATGGTTTTGGAAATTGCAAGACAAAAATTTTGTTTTATAAATTTTGGTCCTGATAGAGTTGTGTAAGGAAGTTACTAAAATAGAATTGAAATAACAAATGACATTTGAAGCCCCTTCTTATTCAGAGAGCCTATGATTATAACTGAATGGAGCCAAAGGTTATCTTCATTAGATTCTAGATATACTTTCTTGTAATTATTAGCATTTAATTTATGCATATATTTTACTGAAAAACCCTGTGTAAAACATGTTAGGTGACATCAGTTAGATGTTCATTCCTTGGGTTTTCATTGGACCTCCGTAGATGCTTCAGTTCAGCATTCAACCTTCATGCCCTAGCCTACACCTCCTATAACTACCCTAATGTTCATCGCACTCTGCAAGGGATTGATTATATTCTTCCCAATTCTCTCTTTTCTCCCACACTTCCCCGGAAGTCTTCCCTGTCTTGAAAAAAGAAAAAAAAAATATATATATATATATTAAAATATATATTCATTTCCATTTGAAATAGTCCTTCACTTAAAAAGAAACCCAAAGAACCAATGTGCCAATAAATAAAATATAATCAAGGCATTCTTACTAAAATTGCATTATTACATTTTCTTTGTTCGTGAGTTTATATTGCCTATTCTTATTTGTAGCAGGTTGCAAATTCTTTTCTTCAATATTATAACTCATTTCAGTCTTTTGTTATCTTTGCATTTATGGTTACTGTATTAGCTTTTGCTAAGTCATATTGTGAACATGTATAACCACTGAAATCACAGTGGCCGGTAATAACCAGCCTTTATTTCTCTCTCATGTACGTGTTGGCTGAAGACCAGCTTTGACTCTGTTCCATGTGTTCTGCATTTTGGGATAAGGCTGAAGGAAAAGCTCCTATTTTGGTCTTATGGCAGGGGGGAAAGGGCAATGTAAAGGCAAGTTTTAGCCAACTTGATGTACTATAAAATGTCATCTTTTTTACTTAGGGTTGCATATCTTCGATTTAATATGTGGTCAACTATTTCCCATCTGTTCTGTTTTCTTTTTTTCTGTAGTAAATTGTTTTTTTCTTGTTCTTTGCCATATTATCTAAAGAATGTTAAATATTTATTTTACTGATTTATGAGTTCCTGGCATATAATATTAGCACTCTTCTATAATTTTTATAAATATTTTTCTAGTCTTTTTTTGCCATTCAATTTATAAATGCACAGAAAACAATTTTTAATGTAGCCAATTACATAAATACAATTTTAAGACTTTTTCAAATGACTCTAACTATATAGTTTAAATGGTCCTGTGCATAATCAAATCAGTTAGCTTATCAATAATTTTCAAATATTTCCTAGCTTTGAATTTTACATTTAAGTTTTCAATTTATTTAAAATGCGTGTTTGCACTGTGAGGTAAAAATCCAAGTTCCTTTTATTCAAAATATTCAATCTCTTGTCTCTTTAGAAAAATAATGTTTTTTTAATTGGTAGCACATTCATATGGTTCAAAATTCAAAAAGCATAAAATTGCAGCATCTTTCCTACTCTGTCCCATATACATAACCATAAAAGGAGCTAGTCTTGTGGCATATTCTCTTCCCCATTCCCAGTTTTTCTAAATACGATATGGGCTTAACATACAGTTAATTGTGTTTTTTATATACATTCTATCTTATAATTATTTTTGTATATTTAGTTGAATAAGAAAATAGGTATTAAAAAATTATTGAGAAAATCATATTTTATCTGCCAATACTTTTTAACCACCATTACTCAGGAGCTCTTAATTTTACTCTCAAATTAGTTGGAATAAATTTTTACGTAGTTTTTTCTTCCCCCCAAGAAGTTCACATAGGAGTGATGGTTAATACTGAATGTCAACTTGATTGGATTGAAGGATACAAACTATTGATCCTGGGTGTGTCTGTGAGGGTGTTGCCAAAGGAGATTAACATTTGAATCAGCAGACTGGGAAAGGCAGACTCATCCTTAATTGGGTGGGTACCATCTAATCAGCTGCCAGCGAATATAAGGCAGGAAAAAAAAACGTGAAAAGGAGAGACTGGCCTAGCCTCCAGCCCACAGATTTCTCCCATGCTGGATGTTTCCTGCCTTCAAATATCGGACTCCAGTTCTTTCTTTCTTCTTTCTTTCTTCTTTCTTTCTTCTTTCTTCTTTCCTCTTTCTTCTTTCTTTTCTTCTTCTTCTCTCTTCTCTCTTCTCTTCTTCTTCTTCTTCTTCGTTCTTCTTTCTTCTTCTTCTTCTCTTCTTCTTCTCTTTCCTCTTCTTCTTCTCTTCCTCTTTCTTTCTCCTTCTTCTCTTCCTTCTCTTCCTTCTTTTCCTTCTTCTTCTTCCTCTTCTTCTTCCTTTCTGTCCTCTGCTCTCCTCCTTCTCTCTCTTCTTCTTCTTCTTCTTCTTTCTTTCTTTCTTTCTTTCCTTCTTTCTTTCTTTCTTTCTTGTTTCTTCTTTCTTCTTTCCTTTCTTCTTCTTCTTCTTCTTCCTCCTTCCTCTCCTCCTCCTCTCTTCTGTGCTGCTGCTTCTTCTTCTTCCTCCTCATTTTTTTTTTTTTGTTGTTGTTTTCTGAGATGGAGTCTCACTCTGTCACCTAAGCTGGAGTGCAATGGCATGATCTCGGTTCACTCCAACCTCTACCTCCTGGGTTCAAGCAATTCTCCTGACTCAGCCTCATGAGTAGGTGGGACTACAGGCCCCTGCCACAATGCCTGGCTAACTTTTGTATTTGTAGTAGAGATGGGGTTTCACCATGTTGGCCAGGCTGGTCTCAAACTCCTGACCTTGTGATCTGCCTGTCTTGGCCTCTCAAAGTGCTGGGATTACGGGTGTGAGCCACCATGCCTGTCCCAGTTCTTCAGTTTTGAGAGTTGGACTGGCTCTCCTTGCTCCTTAAGCTTGCAGACAGCCTACTGGGGGAACTTGTGATCATGTAAGTCAATACTCTATAAACTCCTCTTTATATATATCTTATTAGTTCTGTCCCTCTGGAGAACCTTGACTAATACAGATTTTGCTACCAGGAGTGGTTCTAGAGGAACAAAATATTAAGAATGGAGTTATTTTGTTGGTTTTGGGGTTTCTGAAGTTGGCTACTTAATATGATTAGACCCCAAAATGCTTAGGACTATACTTCTAATACTATGGAGAACACTGATAGTCCTTGCTGTGAACTGTTTAGAGAGTTATGCAAAATAAATGCATTTGACACTGCTGATTTACTGCTCATGAGGGTCAAGGAGTTTAGTGATTTTATCCATAATATCTTTGACCACATGAGGAGAACTATGGATATAATGAAGCTGGTTGATTGCTCCTAAGTTCAATGGACAAAGTGATGAAAGAAAATGATGAACTCAGGGATTCTGTCTCCCAGCTTCAGAAGCACATACTGAGCCTCAAATCTGTTAAGATTGCCCTGAGTAAGAGTCTTATCTCCCATGGAGAAAGAGCTGAAATTGTGGAAAAACAGACACAAGCTTTTATCATGTGAATGGCTGACCTGCAACTAAAGGTGAATGCCCAGCCTTGTGTCTACTGTTAAAGTGAGGGCATTGTTTGGAAAATAATGGGGCCCTGCAATTTGGAATGGGGATGTGTGGGAGGACCCTGATGAAGCTGGGGACACTGAGTTTGTAAACTCTATGAACCTTTTTTGCCAGAAGATACAGCTTCCCCATTCCCAGTGGTGGCAACATCCTCTCCCCAGCCCATGATTCCATCAGACTTTCCACCTTTGTCTGAGGAGATTAACCCTGCACTGCCTGAGGCCAGAGTGATGGCCTCTCCTGAGGCAGTTTCCAGGCAAAATAATGTTGATTCTTCTCAGGAGCGACCCTCAACACCTCTGTTTGCTTCTAGACATATAATTAACTAAAGTCCTGGTGAGCCTCTAGAGGTGAGGTTGATAGTGTGACCCATGAGGGGGTGCACAACACTGGAAAAGAACTGTTTGAGTTCTCTAATTTATATAAACAGAAATATGGAGAACAGGCATGGGAATGGATACTAAGGGTATGGGATAATGGTGGAAGTAACATAGAGTTGGATCAGGCTGAATTTATTGACTTGGGCCCTAGCTACCCCTGTCATCACCTAATGGGCCCATGAAAAAAAATGGCCATGGTGGCAGGGATGGAGGTTACACATGGGCTCAGCAACATTGACTTCCACTCACTAAGGCTGACCTGGCTATTGCCACTGCTGAGTGCCCAATTTGCCAGCAGCAGAGACCAACACTGAGCCCTTGATATGGACTCATGGAATGCCTTATCCACCATCCTGGTGTTCCATACAGCATTGCCTTTGACCAAGACACTCACTTTATGGCTAAAGAAGTGCAGCAGTGGGATCATGCTTATGGAATTCGCTGGTTTTAGCATGTTTCCCATTATCCTAAAGCAGTTGGATTTATAGAATGGTGGAATGGCCTTTTGAAATCACATTTACAATGCCAACTAGGTGACAATACTATGCAGGGCTGGGACAAAGTTCTCCAGAAGGTCGTGTATGCTCTGAATCAGCAACCAATATATAGTACTGTTTCTCCTATAACCAGAATTCACAGGTCCAGGAATCAAGGGGTGGAAGTGGCACCACTCACCATCACCCCTAGTGATCCACTAGCAAAATTTTTGCTTCCTGTTCCCATGACATTGTGTTCTGCTGACCTAGGGGTCTTTGTTCCAGAGGGAGGAGTGCTGCCACCAGGAGACACAACAATCCCATTAAAATGGAAGTTAAGATTGCAACCTGGACACTTTGGGCTCCTCTTACTTTTAAGTTAACAGCTAAGAAGGGAGTTACAGTGTTGACTGGGGTGATTGACCCAGACTAACAAGATGAAATCAGTCTACTACTCCACAACAGAGGTAAGGAGGAGTATGCATGGAATACAGGAGATCCATTGGGCGTCTCTTAGTATTACCATGCCCTGTGATTAAGGTCAATGGGAAGCTACAACAGCCCAATCCAGACAGGACTACAAATGGCCCAGATCCTTTAGGAATGAAGGTTTGGGTCACTCTGCCATGAAAAAACCACAGCCTACTGAGGTGCTTGCTGAAGGCAAAGGGAATACAGAATGGGTAGTAGCAAAAGGTAGTCAACCACATGAAAAAATGCTTATCATCACTGGCCATCAGAGAAATGCAAATCAAAACCACAATGAGATACCATCTCACACCAGTTAGAATAGCAATCATTAAAAAGTCAGGAAACCACAGGTGCTGGAGAGGATGTGGAAAAATAGGAATACTTTTACACTGTTGGTGGGATTGCAAACTAGTTCAACCATTATGGAAAACAGTATGGCAATTCCTCAAGGATCTAGAACTAGAGGTACCATTTGACCCAGCCATCCCATTACTGGGTATATACCCAAAGGATTATAAGTCATGCTGCTATAAAGACACATGCACACGTATGTTTACTGAGGCACTATTCACAATAGCAAAGGCTTGGAAGCAACCCAAATGTCCATCAGTGACAGACTGGATTAAGAAAATGTGGCACATATACGCAGCCATAAAAAAGGATGAGTTCGTGTCCTTTGTAGGGACATAGATGCAGCTAGAAACCATCATTCTCAGCAAACTATTGCAAGAAGAGAAAACCAAACACCACATGTTCTCACTCATAGGTGGGAATTGAACAGTGAGATCACTTGGACACAGGAAGGGGAGCATCACACACTGGGTCCTATTTTGGGGAGGGGGTAGGGGGGAGGGATAGCATTAGGAGATATACCTAATGTAAATGATGAGTTAATGCGTGCAGCACACCAACATGGCACATGTATACATATGTAACAAACCTGCACGTTGTGCACATGTACCCTAGAACTTAACATATAATAAATAAATAAAAAAAGAAAACATCTTCATTTTACTTCCTTTTTCCTTTATCATGTGACATAAGATTTATTGACTTCATATCAGCATTTGAGTGTTGTTAACTTTATGTAATAGTATTTCAGTTGGAGATTGGTGTGTTTCTGGTTGTTCGGAGGATAGTGGTATTATGTTTGGCACAATTATGACCTTACTATTGTCTTTATTTGAAGATTATATATGATCTCAGGAGATGTGTA